TTTAGAGTCAACACCAGCAATTGCAGAGACAATTCGATGGCTCTCACCCACTGAATGTTTAGTATTCGAGTTCAACACCATTATGTTTCCCAGACCATGTTCAGATGATCCTCCATTTAGTAAAGAAGTGGGAGCTAAAACCAAGCTAACTGGAGGCATAGAACCATTTGCAGCTGTAGATTGTAGTGTTGAATAGAAAAGTATTATTTGATCAATATATTTTTTTAAAAAAATTTGTTTATAATATAAAAAAACAAATATAATATTTTATAAATATTAGTCAATGCACATAGATATTGGGATCACCCTTTTGGCTTATTCAAACATATTGAATTCAAAACAGATGTCGGGAGAAACATATTAAAGGTAGGTTGTTGATGTCTTATTCAAACTTTTTTTCTTTGTTTGTCGGAAGTACATTTTATTTTATTTTTTATAAGGTAATAATTAAGAAATTAGTTGTTAGTAATTGAAAATTCAATCTCAAAATGAGTGAATATTTCACTCCTTTAAATAAGGTGTGCGGTCATCAAACTACATTTAGTGGAGTTCATGATAATAGTAAAATTCGAAACTTTGACCATTTTCCCCCAAACAATTAAGACTTAAAGTCAAAACTGAAGTTTTGGATTATTGAAACATGTTAAACTCTACAGTCACTTACTTCATGGCAGTACTTTGTGGTAGCTCTTTGTTTTGTTGGAAGTACATTTTTGGATTATTCAAACATATTAACCTCTACAGACACTTACTTCATGGCAGTACTTTGTCGTCAAAAGTAAGTACATTTTTGTATTATTCAAACATATTAAACTCTACATACACTTACTCCATGGCAGTACTTTGTGGTGAAGAGTAATACCATGAAGTATTTGTCTGAACAATTTAATAGATTAAATAACCTATTAAGATTAGACACAGATCCCATACATATAGTACTTCCATAGCCTTCTCACTTCCGATGTGGGATTCTATCGACATATTTTGTATGGAACAGTGCTGGATCTGGGATTTCACTGTTCGCATTCAGACCTTAGAGATCCAAAACTGAAGCAACTATATTAGAAGCTAAGATACGATCAGCTCCAAAAGGAAACTGCACTATGAAATCTGCAATTGCTGCTCTCAATCTAATGTTTGAAATCCGCAGAGGAAGAGAGGAGATGGACGGTGAATTTGCTGTTTTCATTTTCTGGGACTAACAATCGTTTTAGAGGCAGTTATCAAAATATTTCTAGGACTTCCATTGCAGTTCACTGTCTAGATTCTTCCAAAATTGCACACCACTAGCTCTAATTTCTAAAAGGCGAAAGAATTGAAGGAAACTTTGATGGGTTCTTGGAAAAATTTGACTCTTTCTTTTCTTGTAATTAGGCCAACCAACTTTCTGTTGCAAGACAATAATTTGTTTTTGATTTAGAGATACAAGAATTGAAGGAAATCAGTGTGAGAATTTGTGGACTATGATGGAGGAGGAGGTTGGAAAAGAGGAAGATTGGGCTTGGGATGGGAGATTGAGAAAGGATAAGTTTTGGGGAACAATACGAGGAGTATTAGGTAATTTTGAATTTTCAATATAATTTCAATTTAACCATTATTTATGGCAATTTTGTAATTAAAGTCAATGGTAACAATAAATTTTGTCCACATTTACTTTGTAAAATTTTTACGTCATTAATTTGAACAAAAGGGCAACTTATGCTGCTATCAATTAATGTATCGTGTAAACGAAACTCAATGAAATAATTAAAAAGAGCCAAAAAAATATTATATAAAACTTTAAGGATTAAATTTTTTTCAGTTTAAAAACTAAAAGAAGATTTCGCACCAAAGTTGGGCGAACAAAATGAGATTTAAACAATAGCTAATTAAATGCGGACCAAAGGGTTTCCTCCCTCGTTCTACTTCCATCCTTCCCTGCCCTTTTCTGTTCTTGATTCTTCCTTTCTTCTTCTTTTTTTCATGATTTTATATTTTATTTTACTCTTTAAGTTTTTTCTAATTAAGGTTCCTTGTCTTTCCTTTTAAGGCCGGTTTATTAGAGAATTTATTCTATAAAAAATAATTTATGTGAGTTTTATTATTATTTTATATCATTTCAATTGAAAGGTTAGAGTAAGAGATATGGTTGATAAGTATTGTGTTATCTTAGAATGCTTCGTAATAATGGATTATTTTAACAATTACCTTTTTATTTTTTAGTTATGGTAAATTATATTAACTTGTGATTTTATTGTCAAATTAAAAACTAGATTCAATTATCATATCAATATAATCATTAAACTACTCTATTATCAAATACTTAATTAAGTGTTTTACGTATTTAAGTTTAAATTTTCTAATGTTTCTAGTGTGTTACGTCGTATGAATTAGCTTATAATCTTTGTATTTTTCTATTATTAATGAATAAATTTATTTTTACTATAAAAAAAAAAGCAAATTAATTACTTTAATTCTATTAATATAAGAGGCTGAACTTACCAAAGAATTGGAATGAATAAATGCAAATTTGAATCAAATGAACAAACGTTTGTGATTAATTACATGTTTTATCTTCATTTATTGATCCTTGATTTAGTTTTCATTGATCGCTCCTTAATTTTCATTGCCCGGGGTTCCCTCCTTTGCGTATTTTGAAGCTGTTAGGGAGAAATCTGAAAGATAAAATTTATGTTGTCAGAAACAAAAACAGCAAACTTTCACATTCTGAGAAAGACAAATATACATAATGAGTGCATTTTTTCTTCTTAGTGGCACATTGTTAATTGGTAAAAATGCAAAATCAAAATTAAAGATGACCAACAAGCATCTTCAACAGTTAGATTTTTTTTCATGGGCCTCATCAAAACATGAGGTGCATCATTAAATTAATTAATAATAAATGAAATAACTCATATCATATTTAAGTCATATATTTCTTATTTTATTTTTCAATATGGAATTTCTCACTTTATTTAGGGAACACGTAAACTTCATAGGCCCTCAAAGGCACACAAGCCCACTGGGCTTGTTAGAGCAAAGCTTCATATGCCCCCATACCGAGACGACGGAGCCCAGACGCACAGAGGAAGAAGAAGAGGGGCTTGAAGAAAGGGGCCAAGCCTCAATTGAGACGCTCTACTACTATATTAAAATTATTTGTATAGAGTTTCCTTTGGCTAATTTATAAGATATTTGTGACTGCGGAGTGGAGATTGGAATTGGAAATCAGAGGAGAGACAGGAAATTTAGGGGAGAACAGAGGAGAATTGAGGGCGAAAGGGAAGAATCTAGCGTGCATGGAGAATTTGATAGATTAATGGAAGAAAACATCTCTTCTCATTCATGAACAACCCGAAAGGATTACGGGAGACTCCTTTATTGTAGAAAGCTAGATAAAATCAATTGCAGCTTAATCCTACTCGTACTAATACCTGCCTTTAGGACCTAAGCTTACATTCTTCATTAACATTGATCCTTTTTTCAAAAGAAAAAAAATAAATAAATAAAGGAAAGCAATAGTAATTTAATGCATAAAAACATTTAGGAAGCGAATAGGAAGTTTTGACCAATTCTATTTTGCAGGGTATGACACAAAGAGTTGAAATTTGGATTGAAATTCATATATTGGCTGTTCACTAATTACCTGCATGCAAAAGTTAGTTAAACGTTGGACTTAATCCTGAGCTCAAATATAAGTCAATACAAGTGAAATGCTATATTAGGTTAAATATCATTTTTAGTTCCTAAACTTTTAATTTTGAACTTCTTTTTTAATCCTTCAATTATTTTTTGCACTTCTTTTTATTCATAAAATATGAAAAATGCACTTTTTTTAATCATTCTATTAGTTCTTTAAGTCTATTTATATATATATTTTTTTAACTCCTAAATTTATAATTTCAAGAATTAAAAATATGTATATATTATAAGTTTAGAAATTAAATATATATATATAGATAGATTTAACAGATTAACTAATTGAATGACTCAAAAATGCATTTTTCATATTTTAGGGATAAAAAAATTGCAAAAAATAGGAGCTACAAATGTTCAAAGTTGAAAGTTCAAGGACTATAAATGGCATTTAACCGCTATATTAAGGCTAGTTTGAAATGTTATGATGAAAGTGATACTTAGAGTGATGTTTGGACTCAGTTATGCATGCAAGAAATGTAATTGAC